CCCCCCCCCCTTTCCCCAATCTTGTTTCATAAACTGTCACACTTTAAAGTGTCTTAAAGTGACCCCTCCTCCCCGTAGGGTGACATACTTTAAACTTTACAGAAGGCCCCTAAGTATGTTTTAGATGATTATATGTTTTTTTTATTAAGTTTATAAATAATTTCATTATTTCATCTAACAAGTCTTGTTAACCCCCCCCCCCCCCCCCCCCCCCCCCCAATTTGTTGACATAGTAGTTAATGGACGAGCCCATAGCAGTGGCCCACCATTCTTTTTTGTTTTGTTTTCATATGTGTCCTAGATGCAAGTATCTTGAAATGAAAACAAACTTTTATACAGATATCTGAGCTAGTTGTTGTGTTTTAGTGTGTCATACACCCACAGAAAATATCGTACACGCTTAGTGTTTCCATTTTTTCAACCACTTTTTTTTTAGATGGTTGTAATACACGTGTTTTGTTCATTATGAAAAAAACAAAAAAAAACAACAACAACCAAACCAACCATTATTGTGTACAGTTTAATGGGAGTGAACAAGGATGTAATATTCAACGGGTTGTATTGTGTTTCCCCAACCAATGAGGGTTAGCTCCGTCCGTATCTTTAACAACGGTTATACTTTTTTAAAAGTAAAGAATCGTATGTTTTTAAAATGCAAACGCTCCATCTTCGGATTTAAAATTAAATGGTATACATTAATGAATACGGTATACATTAATTAATACGGTTCATAAGCTCGTATTTCCAAATGACGAATTTCAAATGAGAGACACTTATATCTTTATTATTGGATTGGTATTTAAAAAAAGAAATAAATAAAATGTTTTTAAAAAAACTTTTGAGAGCGCTAACATAAGCAAATATTTTTTTAATAAAAGACTATTTAAAGGGCGTATTAGAGTCAAAACTTTAACCAATCTCACACACATTCCTTGAGATGAGAAGACACGTCATTGTTATGTTGGCTGAACGTGATGAAACTTGAGTTGGTAGTTGTGCTTTCCTTTTCCCCATTTTTGTTCCTCATACTGCTGAAAATGTTATCCCTTTATCTGTGATATTTATGCGACAGAAATTTAGAAGATCTTCAAAATGCATATTTCTACTAAATTTTGTAATCATTTCTAACAATTGACAGAATGTAAACTTATTCGAATGCCTTACATCTCTCTCTTGATCTTTCGTTTCGTTTGTGTGTTCCTGTACAACAAACTATATTTTGAAAACACCGAATGTATAAAATAAAAACCGTCTTAATATTTTTTATTTGCAAACACAACTGTTTACTTTCACTGGCACTTTGTTGTCTGAGGAAAAATAAATTAAATTTATTAATCTTTATACCTTGTAAAGTGTGTTGAATTTCTTGAGCTTATTAAAAAACATAATTTGTTTAAGAGATTTATTCCCCGCTAAAATATATGGTAAAATAAATTAATTAATTAAATTTAAAACGCAAACCAGTTCATTGCTTTAAGCTCAAAGTTGTCAATTGAGAGCACTGTCTTAATGAGATTGGCCAGACTGTACGCTCGGATGTTCTGTTGATAGATAATCAATAGATGAATAGATTTCCGCTGTTAAATGAAAACCCCTATGGTACGTTGCTTATGCAACTTTAGAATCTTTGGGGTCTTATCATTTCCTGCTTTGACGACTCACTTCATTTGGTATACGCCGAGTATACGCCGAGTACACGCCGAGTACACGCCGAGTATTTTTAAGATACTATTTCCCCGAAGAGCGGAAACATTGACGCTGTCAACGGGTCACCATAAATGGGTTGTAATCTTCTGTGAACAAAGACATCTGTGTGTTAAAAAATATTTCAAGACACAGTTTCACTAATGAAAATGCTAGTGTCGCTGGCAGCTGCGTGCAGGAAGTCGTGGGGACAAATTTATTGCCCAGCTCAAATTAGTTTTCGTTGACAGTCTAGAATAGTATCTAAAGTTCATTATTTGAATTTGCATGTCACTAATATGAATTTTTTAATGAAAAATTAAATCTACGAATTGAATCATTTACGCAGGTAAGTTTGGGTTTTTTAACTTAAAAAAACAACAACATAAGAATATACATACGAACGTCCAATTCTCTTAACATATTATTAATTCCATGTGAATATGCCGTAAATGAAATATGAACTTGCATGCTGTTAAATGTAATCCTTTGTATTTGAATGCATTAATTATCGACACCACCTTATCAAAGTCTGTATTTAATTAATAGAGGAGAGAAATATTTGCCGCAATAAAGGCAAACATGTTACGAGCGTATTTATGGTTTTAAGTAAATATAATTTGATATACTCAAATGAAAGCCTTCCCGACATTTTAAAAACTTACTATACGATATAATCGCATATCAGGGATTAATAAGAAAAAAAAAATATTTTTTTGGTATAAGGACAAGCCAATCGATTTTAAACTTCAGACATTATGACGAATTCAAACAAGAAATATTAAATGAAAGAAGACATTTGGATCACCTATTCATTTCATAAAAAAGCAAAGTTTACATTTTCAGGTGTTATTGAAAACAACACAACTAAATAGCATTATAGAGGTTAAAAACAAGATCGAAAAAAAAATGAGGCATCTTCGAGGTAATGGCTACTTCACTGGCGTAGCTTTGCTGCTTGCATCCTCTTACATGATTAGCTCCTCGTTGGCTGCATCAAATGCAGGACCTCAGATGACCACTGAAGTGGGTTACAAGAGAAAGGCCATGTGCTACAAGTACTGCCCCTGTGACACACCTGAGTCACAGCGCACCTTTGAACCGTCAGAGGCAATCGGACCAGGCCAAGAGAAGTCTCAACGCACCTTTGAACAGTCAGAGGCAACCGGTCTAAGCCAAGGCGATGACATTGACCTACTCTCTGTTCCAGGCCACGAGCAGATGGTGATGCGGTATGAAAATCAAGTCCCGTTTCAACTTCACCAATCGCTGACATCTCCGAGTCTCTCGGCTTCCGTGAGCTGCCGTTGTAGTGCGACCTTCTGCGACTGCTCAAATCTACAGCTGACACGAGTTCCCGTCATCCGTTTGTCCAATGTCATCACCGGACTTGACCTACACAAGAATTTCATCGCGCATCTTCCCAACTGCAGTTTCTGCGACTACCCTCAACTGACCTACCTAGACATGTCCCAAAACAAACTAGATTCACTACACAAAGGATCGTTTGAAACGCTTCGGCTTCTAGAGTTCTTGAACCTGCAGAGCAATAATCTAACATTCACCAACGGCACGTTTCCCGAAGGGGTTTTCGGAGATCTGAGCTCTCTGAAGGTGCTCAAGTTAAACAACAACACGAGATCCCCATACGACCTCGGCTACGACTACCCGGACGAGGCTCTGGCCGAGCTCACCAGCCTACAGGTGCTGTACATGGACGGGCTCAACCGCCAAGCCTTCGGGCCCGGATTCGCCAAGATGACGTCTTTGCGAAGCTTGAATCTCTCGGGGTACGCTGAAGGGAGCTGCACGCTTGTCGCCTTGAGGAACGACACGTTTCAGCATTTGGGTCAACTGACACAGCTCGATCTCAGCACGTGCAGAATCCACGGTTGGCGCGTCGAGCCCGGTGCTCTCCTGCCCCTAAAAAATCTCCAAGTTCTTGATGTCAGCTACAATTTCAAGCTCGGGTTCTACGAATTTATGCGGGCGATGTTCGAGGTGAGGAACTCGAACCTCGTTTCGTTGAAAATGAACTCGATCGTTTCGATATACTCGCTGGCGATTACCGTCAACAAAAGCATGGTTGAGAGTCTGCCCCGGTCACTTCAGTACCTCGAAGCCAAAGGGAACAGTTTTGAGACGATCGAACCGGGGCTTCTTCAACTCGTACCGGAGAATTTGAGCTACCTTGATCTGGGGGGTAATAGGCTTGTATACGGCCTATATTTAAACGACCTGCCACTTCTAGAAAATTTAGAAATTTTAAGGCTCAAAGGAGTCAATATGTTGCTGAAGTTACCAACATTCGGACCGTATTTATCCGAATGGCATTTAACCAGTTCACCAGAACAGGAGGGAGTGTCTGATCTAAAAGCAGGCCCGGAGCCACTGGTTATCCAGTTGCCGCCAAGGTTGAGGACGATTGACATGAGTGTCTCCGGATTAAATTACATCCTATCACGCCTGGTCATGAACCCAGAGAACTCACTGAAAACCTTGTTTCTAAATGCTAATCATTTCCCAGTCATGCTTGGGCCCTTTATCGGCTTCGAAAAGCTCGAGGTTCTGGACTTAAGTCTTACGTCCGCGCGAACGCTTAAAAAGCAATTTTTCAAACATTTTACAAGTCTTCGGCGCCTCATGTTGAGTCAAAACGCTTTGGGAGAATTTTTTGCGCGTTCTAAGCCCAATTCACAAATCTTCAGCGATCTAAGAAATCTTACCGCCCTTGACCTTTCTAAGAACTTGATTAATTCTTTTCCCGATGACCTCTTAGCGGGACTGACGCAGCTTACGACCCTGAACATGGAAATAAATGAAATGTGGAATTTCGACTTGCAGATCAGCCACATGGAAAATCTGAGTCTGCTGAACCTCAGCCACTCGCAGCTGAGTCATCTGCCCAATCACGTGATCACACACATCAACAGCCTGGTCGAGGGACGCGTCAACATCACGGTGGACCTGTCCAGCAATCCTGTAAAGTGTGACTGCAACAACCTGGATTTTATCCAATGGATGGTGGACTCACCGGCGTTTGATCCCAAATTCATCAACTACATGTGCCAGTATCCGGACTCCTCTTATAAAAGAATCGTCGATTCGTATGCTGAAACACTGCATGATTTGCACAGGATCTGCGCCTTAAACTTTCCCGTCTTCATCGCCGCGATCGGTGCGACGTTCTTCATGCTGAGTTTTGTGGTAGGAGCGATCATTTACAGGTGAGTAAGTTCAGACCAATGTTGTAGGAGCGATCATATACAGGTGAGGAAGTTCAGACCAATGTTGTAAGAGTGATCATTTACAGGTGAGTAAGTTCAGACCCATGTGGTAGCAGCGATCAATTACAGATGACTAAGTTCAGACCAATGTTGTAGGAGCGATCATATACAGGTGAGGAAGTTCAGACCAATGTTGTAAGAGTGATCATCTACAGGTGAGTACGTTCAGACCAATGTTGTATGAGTGATCATCTACAGGTGAGGAAGTTCAGACCAATGTTGTAGGAGAGATCATTTACAGGTGAGGAAGTTCAGACTCATGTTGTAGGAGCGATCATTTACAGGTGAGGCAGTTCAGACCCATGTTGTAGGAGCGATCATGTACAGGTGAGTAAGTTCAGTAAATAAAATAAAAAAAACAAACAAACAAACAAAAAAAACCAACAAAATGTTCTTGTCCTTTCCTATTCATCACATTCATCACAACTATGATTGACGAGTTATGTTTGTGAAACTTGATTTCAATGTGAGATGTTGAAATTTAAATTAACAATATCAACATTGATGCTTGGCTACATAGCACTCAGTCAAAACTATATTTTAAGCCAAAGCAAAACTCTAAACTGGCCAAAAAAATACATATTTACATAACATTTATAAATATTAGTTGGCATCTTTTCATTTTCCTGAGACTATGGTGTTGCTGATGCGTCACTGTACACATACACACACACACACGGATAACTGAAGAAAAAAAATAACTTAAAAATACAAAAGTTGGAAACTCATTAAAAAAATAGACTTTTAAACACTTAAAGAAAAACCTGATTCAACCCTATTGATAATTAAGATTTGACTTTATAAATTAACATGGTGTCAATCAATCAAAAAGAACGTTTTGTCCACAATCTTCATCGAAATTGTGTGCATCAACATTATGTTTTATCTCTTTAAAAAAAAATAAATAAAAAATCAGAGAGCGATCGAACTACTTTTGATCATTTCTGAATCGCTTTTTACAATAGATTCTGTCAATGAATGAACTCCCACAGGTTTCGGTGGAAGATACGCTACATGTACTACGCGGCGTATCTCAAGCTGAGAGACAGGGACGCCTGCGATGACTCCAGAAAGTTCAAGTATGACGTGTTCATTTCCTATTCCTCTCTGGACGAAACGTTCATACGACTTCACTTATCGCCAGGTAATCACAACGTCAAATAGCTGTCGCTGTCCTAAACTAACTCTTCACTTATCGCCAGGTAATCACAACGTGAAATAGCTGTAGCTCTCCTAAACTAACTCTTCACTTATCGCCAGGTAATCACAACGTCAAATAGCTGTCGCTCTCCTAAACTAACTCTTCACTTATCGCCAGGTAATCACAACGTCAAATAGCTGTAGCTCTCCTAAACTAACTCTTCACTTATCACCAGGTAATCACAACGTCAAATAGCTGTCGCTGTCCTAAACTAACTCTTCACTTATCGCCAGGTAATCACAACGTCAAATAGCTGTCGCTCTCCTAAACTAACTCTTCACTTATCGCCAGGTAATCACAACGTCAAATAGCGTAGCTCTCCTAAACTAACTCTTCACTTATCGCCAGGTAATCACAACGTCAAATAGCTGTAGCTCTCCTAAACTAACTCTTCACTTATCGCCAGGTAATCACAACGTCAAATAGCTGTCGCTGTCCTAAACTAACTCTTCACTTATCGCCAGGTAATCACAACGTCAAATAGCTGTAGCTCTCCTAAACTAACTGCCCATCTACTGCAGTTACGTTGCCAAACATGCATTCAAGTAACGTGACGCGTTTTTTAAATATAATTCCCAATCGACTGGGCAGCTAAGAAACGTAACAATGTGTTCCCCGTGGTGGCTCTCAAATTGCATATTCCCAGAGAAAAATAGCAGCTTAATCTCATACACAAATAATTAATGGGATAACCAATTATTGAGCAATTAAAAAAAAAATATTGAATCATCTTCACTGTAGCGCTAAATTACCAAAGTTCACATTATAATAATTTCGGCATTGTGCTGTCTATTGTTACATTGCAATGATATTGGCTTTGTGCTGTCTGTCCATTGTTATATTACAATGATATTGGCATTGTGCTATCTATTGTTACATTACAAGGATATCGGCATTGGGCGTTCTGTCCGTTGTTACATTATAATTACATTTTTATGCCATCTATCCCTTGCTACACTATCCTAACATCGTGTTTTTTTTGGGCCATGTATCAATTGTTGCTTGATCTAATGTCAACGGCGTGTGCCCTCTGTCCCAGAACTGAGCAGGCGCTCCCTAACACTGCATGTACACGGCAGAGACTTCGCTGTTGGTGAGTACATCGCGTCCAACATCGTCACAGCCATCAACGAAAGTAGGAGGACCCTAGTGGTTCTCACACAGAACCTGCTGACCAGCAAGTGGTGCAACTATGAGCTGCAGGTATGCCACGTTCTCTGATTGTTCTTAGAGAAGAATATTTAATAAAGTATTGAAGAAATGAGATGTTATACTGACTTGGTCTACGGTTCAATTCTTTTCATCAGGGTATCTATCATGCAATGGAGGTTGGAAGGCCTGAGGCAATAGAATCAAATGTGTCACTTTCGGTCCAATTTTTACGGACAAATCACTTTAAGTCTAATTTTTACGGACAAATCACTTAAGTTCTAATTTTTACGGACAAATCAGATTAGGTCAAATTTTTACGGACAAATCCCTTTCGGTAAAATTTTTATTGACAAATCACTTTCGGTCAAATTTTTATGGACAAATCACTTTAGGTCCAATTTTTACGGACAAATCACTTTAGTTACAATTTTTACGGACAAATCACTTTCGGTCCAATTTTTACGGACGGTTGACGGCCCTGGTTTCTACTCTCATGTAACGAGTGTTATTTTCGTTATAATGATTTGTTTTTTTAAGCTTTTAAAAACATATAAGTATAAACTACCTGAAAGTGTTTTTTTTCTAATATGTAATAATGCAAAGATTAATATATAATATAAACACGTAAACCAAACAGAAACACAAATAAATGTTATTGCTTTTATTCCGAAATCTAGATGGCGAACATGGAGTCCGTGTACACTGGCCGGCGCGTCCTGGCTTTCCTCCTCATGGAGTCCATCCCCAACGGCGTGCTCGGCACGGACCTGCTCTACCACATACGGACCAACACCTACACGGTGTACCCCAGCAGGGGCGAGGGTGGCGCTGCGGACGGGGCGCCGGAGGTGTTCTGGGATAAGCTTGCCAGCGACCTGAAACGCTGAACGGTGGCGTTTGAACCCGCGCTCTCTCTTTGGCCAGGTTTCAAGTCTGGCGTGTCTGCTTCTGGTTGACCTTTAAACCCTTTTCAATGGCATGTTCCCACATGTAGTCTATGTTGTACGGGCGGCATTGTTTTCTTGCTTCTTGTCGAGTTGGAACTTTGTATCTGTTTTCGTTCCATACATACATATAATATATTATTAAAATTTAATACTTCCTGTACATAAATATAAAACTATATAATATTTATAAATTGAGACAAAATAATTGATTAACGGGGCATTTTTAATGTAAAATACAGTGGTGGTGTCAAAGGGAGGCTAATACTGTCAAAATGTTGGTGTTACGGGGTTATCTTGCCCGACCCCTTTACTTCTGCTGGCAAGTGTTTCAGACAATATCTTCCAGATTTGGGTTTGAGGGATATTTCAGATAATTGGGTGGGCAGAGCCAGTGGCGAAAGGAAATGGACGGAGGATGGCGTCCGCCCCGGGGGGGGGGGGACGTTTTCTTGTTATGGATGTGTCATTTTTGGTTTGCTAAAATAGTTTTTATTTTTGGAAATGTGGGGAAAAAAATCACTAGCCAACCCAAGTCGGCACTAACCCTAACCTCGCCTCTCACCATTGCATCTATCAGCGTCAAAATTAAGAAGAATTTATTTGTCTCTTGACCTTGTTGTTCTTATACAAATAAAATATTTTGAGTGGTATAAAAAATAGATACGTTGATTTGTAATTTTTATCTAAACTATATTTATTTCGTTAAACTGCTTCATTGACAAATTGTGTATTTTAAAAATAATAAATTCCTTACCCAACAGGCGGCCACCACAAAACAAAGTAAAAAAATTACCTTTCCTAATTATTTCCACGTTTCACCAAGTCAAAAAAAAAAACAACAACAAAAAAAAACTGCATTGTAGAAAAGGTCTTTGTAGAATAAATTTAATTATTTAAAAAAATATAATTTGCAGATGAATGGCAAAAATTATAATAATAACTTAATTTTTTTTAAGAACATGATAACATTATACAATAATCCAAATGCCCTACTTAAACAGTTGATCACAGCGCATGAAAAACAGTCTTAAATATATATATATTTTCCAACAATTTGGAACGCACTTCCAGTCGCTCACAGAAACAGCCAGACAGTCCTTTAAAACCGATTTAAAAACACAACTATTTCGCAAACACCTTCTGGGGTGATGCTATCTACCTTCTTTTTCAGTTAATGTATATTGGCTTGTGTTGCTTATGGTTGAAACGGGATGAAAGACTTTGACTTGGTTTGCTCGTATGTAGCTTTATATTGTTGCGTCTGTTTTTAAATGTAGTAAATTTTAGATTGTTTTTATTTCTCTTTTTAATGTGGTTGACTTTGTACCGCGCTTCGAGCTTTTGGGGATGAAGCGTGTTTTTCAAATAAACTTTATTATTATTATTATTATTATTGTTATTATTATTATTATTATTATTATTATTATTATTATATATATATATATATATATATATATATGTAATTTATTTGTCAAGATATTATAATCTATGCCATTAAATGGAGGGAAAGATGGATGGATTACGTATTGCTCAGATTAAGACTCGCAGATTTCCCAAACTGGAGTCTTTAAACCAGGGATATTGCAAAGACTAATGAAATAATAGTTGACCCGCGTACTCCTCCATTGCGACTAAAGGAGTCCACTGATTGGCTGTTTCTTGCACTAGAGGAAATAATTTAAATGTAAATGTCTCGTCTTTAAGTTGTTTGAGTTGGAAAATGTTGACCCTATTCATGGGCGCCCGCAACGGGGGGGGGGGAGGCACTTCCCCCCCCCTGGATTGATTGGATAAAAAATATTTTAGACAAAAATAGACAAAAAATGCATTAAAGTAAAGAGAAAATAAAGAGAAAGTAACTAAGCTAATGTCCTGTCCGTTCGTTCACCATACAAATATGCTACAGTAAATTAAAACTACATTAAAACATTACTAAATTTTGTTTGCCCCCCCCTAGAAAGTTAATCGGTTTTTTTTGCCACCCCCCCTTCTAGAAAGTTTTCTGCAGGCGCCCATGACCTTATTATTATATGTATTCATTTATAAGCTGAAAAAGTATATGTAAAATGTAATCAAAAGTCATTTCCATCTGTTACGATTAAAATATCTTATCTTTCCTTAGCTTATCTTGTCTCAAAATACCGGTATTGCAAAATAGTGTGTAAATATCAACTATACCGATCTTTTATTTGTTTACCCCATTTCACATATCTTAATAGGTGAACAAATAATATTTACTAAAACTCCTTATAACAAAAGTTATAAAAATAACCATTATAAAAAAAACAAAAGCCAATTTTCGCTTTATTTTGAACAGTATTTAGCTCCGCGGGGAAGAGGCATTTGACTTGCTTTGGGGAAAGTGGGGGGGGGGGTGGCATTTGGACCCCAGGCATCTACACCGACCTTCAAGTAGGGGTGTGACTCGTAATCGGGAGCGGCTTACTACATTTTTGGGAACACCACTGTATAAAAGTTATAAAAAAAACCATTATAAAAAAAACAAAAGCCAATTTTCGCTTTATTTTGAACAGTATTTAGCCCCGCGGGGAAGAGGCATTTGACTTGCTTTGGGGAAAGGGGGGGGGGGGGTGGCATTTGGACCCCAGGCATCTACACCGACCTTCAAGTAGGGGTGTGACTCGTAATCGGGAGCGGCTTACTACATTTTTGGGAACACCACTGTATTTAGAATCGAAAGCTGTATTAAGTTTTGCATTGCATTTTCGGATTATTAAATCTATCCAGCCAAGCGACATTTTATTGTCTTCACTGTATCACCAAAGTCACCCTTAATAACCTTTAAAAACAAATTATTATTTAAAAATTGACAATTTACTAGGTTTTTTAAAAAAATTTTTAAAAAATATTTTTCGATTTATTCTTTACACATTTTTTTTTCTCAAAAGGGGGGGGGGGAGGTGACCCCTCTCCGCCCACCCCTCTCCACCCACCCCACTGTTGTGATGCCTGAAAGAAACACTTGTTACGCACTGGCTTCTCTCTCCTATTTTAATTTTATTGGCTCGTTGTAAACAGTGCCTAACAAAGGACGATACTATAGAGTCAACAATATTAAAGATACGACACCCAAAACAGTTACCAGTTACAATTAATATGATTTATTTAAGTCTTAATATAATTACAAAAGAAAAGAAAATATAATTACAATCATCAACTTACAGTATGGTAGATCCTATACCGGTACACAGTTAGCACAGTTAGTGCAATGTGCTAATGAATAATGATGAGGGATCAATGCCGAATGAACACATATTAGTACACTAAGAATAATACACGTCTCGTGAAGTTAAAAATATATATCAATCTCCATCTCTCCGTATCTGTCAATCCCTTATATACATGTAGCGTAAGACGCTTCCAGAAAAGACTTATGACGCATTGTTTACATTTCTCGGGTTATCGAGAACATTCGACAAGATACCAGGAGACATACTACCCAAGTTTAATTGGAAGTTGTTAGTAAACACGATACATCAAAGACTAAGCCACCCCCACAACAAACGCTACCGTCTGCTAGGGGTCCAATGTGGGGTGAAACAAAGTTCAAGCACGGGAAAAAGTGTACTACATAACACACTGCTACTGGCACCGTTGGCTATTGCAGAGGTTGGGAACCTTTTCATGGCAAGGAGCCAAATTTTAAATTCTGCTCTAGTTTACAAGTAGCGTCCACGAGCTACATGAGAAAGAGCAAGGAGTCGCATGCGGCTCGCGAGCCGCAGGTTCCCGTCCCCAATTCCAGGGGGAGATCAATACCCTTATCAGCAAGAGTCACCTCAGAGTAGCGATCCCTTAATCCATTTTTTCCCTTAACACCCACAATCTTCATAGGTGCATCACCACAGCGTGCATCACCACAGCGTGCATCACCACAGCGTGCATCACCACAGCGTGCATCACCACAGCGTGCATCACCACAGCGTGCATCACCACAGCGTGCATCACCACACCGTGGATCACCACGCCGTCCATCACCACGCCGTGGATCACCACGCCGTGCATCACCACGCCGTGCATCACCACGCCGTGCATCACCACAGCGTGCATCACCACACCGTGCATCACCACACAGTTGGACACACAGGAAAGTATTATCCAATACCATCACACACGCTGGGATGAGATTCTGGCAATCACGATATGACATCAACTAGACACACACTTCTGGGTTACTATATATCAATTTACTGTCGCCTCGCTCACACTCTTCTGGGTTACTATATATCGGTTTACTGTGGCCTGACTCACATATCATATATTCCCACAAACTTGTTTATTAATTCTTCCCCTCTCATTCAATCACAATAAGCCACAATAATAACCCTAATTAAATGGCTCACTACTTACGGTGACAAAAAGTTCACTCTAAAAACCGTAATTCTCATACCCTTGACAATAAATAACATTTAGAAATCTACAATTCTTTCAAAAGTCTGTAAAAAAAATAATAAAAAAACGTACGGGACTTGTTGTAGAAGTTAAAACAAAATTAATAACAGCAAATGAATACGAATGGCGCTCTGTTATTCGAAACTTCAAATAAATTCGTGTCTGAATCATACACTATCTGAATCACACACTATCTGAATCATACACTATCTGAATCATACACTATCTGAATCACACACTACCTGAATCATACACTACCTGAATCCGACACTATCTGAATCACACACTATCCGAATCCCACACTTTCTGGATCCCACAATATCTGACTTACACACTATCTGCATCACACACTATCTGAATCATACACTATCTGAATCATACACTATCTGAATCATACACTATCTGAATCACGCATTATCTGAATCATACACTATCTGAATCACACACTATCTGAATCACACACTACCTGAATCACACACTATCTGGATCCCACACTATCTGACTTACACACTATCTGAATCATACACTATCTGAATCGTACACTATCTGAATCATACACTATCTGAATCACACACTACCTTTAATAAACAGTTCTTTTCATTGTCTGAGGTCACTGGCGAATCTGTCCCAGAATGCTTGCAGCAATGCGCCGCGCCGCCCCTCCTCGCCCTGTGGGTAGAGCATGTAGGTGTTGTTGGTGATGTGGTACAGGAGGTCGGTGCCTAGGTCACGCGACGGGGTGGACTCCATCAAGAGAAACACCAGAAGCGGTCGTCCTGTGTGGACCGACTCCATGTTTGCCATCTGTTGTTGTGTGATATAGGGGGCGGGATTAAAAAAAAGCAAGGAACCATTGTTATACATCACTACTACTTATCTAAATAAATAATTATTTTCTTGAGGCCCCCCCCCTTTTTTTTGATAGGAGATTTAACATAGATGCAATGGAAAATATTATTTTGTAACAAATTATCATTTCAGGAGATTTTCCTTGAACAGACACATAATTCTTTTAATTTTCTAATGATTAATTCCATTTTAATGTCTTAAAAATAAGTAATTCATGGAAATCAATCATTTAAAACGTATATTTCAATTTGTTAGTTAAGCAACACTGAAACCGAAGTTAACTTAATTAAGGTTTCATTCGGTTATTGTTGACATAAGTTGAAAAAAAAAGTCAGACCGAGGAAATGAGGGACTCACTTTTAATAAAGAAAGGAAACAAATTTTATTACTTTTTTTTTTGTCGAAATGCAAGCATTTTTTCTCTGCTCACCAGATATTTCTGTCGTATAGCAGATGGACATTATAGAATTGCCACTTCTACATATGACAGATCACCAATGAGAATTATATGTAATAATGTAAGATTTTTAAAGATTTTTTTTTATCTGAATCAAAGCTTTTTTTCTTTCTAACAAGTCCTGGTCTTTAACTGGTGCTATGTATATTTGAAGAGAGAAAATTAAAAAGGTAATAGTATGACAGATACATTAATAACTGAAATAAAAGACATTTGAATTAGATCTAGGTCATTTATAGCTTACCATTTTTTGCCCAGGTCATCGTAGGATGAAATTAACAATGTAAAACTGTAAGACTGTCCCGGTGTTGGTTGGTTGATTGATATCCAACGTGTCAATGAATAAATATGCGATTTCCGGAATGTCAGTCTTTCAAATTGCGAACAAAGATACATATAATGTATGTACTCTCTGCAAGCCCCCGCCCAAATCACCAATGCTCACAACCTAAGCTTAACCGATTTTCTGGATGCCAAGTACGGGCAGATGCCCGTTGATGAAGACATCATCAAGAAAAGATGGAGGTGGATAGCACATAGTCTCCCAACAACCCCCCCCCCCCAGATAGCATCACCAGACAATGCCTAACATGGAATCCACAGGGGAAAAAAAGAAAGAGAGAAAGGCCTAGCAATACATGGAGACGCGAGCTAGAGGCAGGCACGCAAAATATGGGATACACCGGGAAGCAGTTGGAGAGGAAAGCACGGGGCCACTTCCGAGACAAGAGATTAGGCATTTGGGCCGCAGGAGATACCGGACGTCAGCTGAATCGGAAAATGCCGTGACCGGACAAGAGCGACCCCTTGTGGAAAGAGAGGAGACCGCAGCTTCATACCCCAGATGAGACCCAGCAGTTTGACCGGATTCCCCGGCAGTTTGACAGGGTTCACTACATATAATAGAAACATGCCACACACCTGTAGGACATATATACACCAAGTACTGCACAGCAGCTTGACCGGATTCCCAGCAGTTTGACAGGGCTCACTACATATGATAGAAACATGTAACACACCTGTAGGACAAAGATACACCAAGTACTGCACAGCAGTTTGACAGGGTTCACTACACATTATAAAAACATGCAACACACCTGTAGGACATATATACACCAGGTACTGCACAATAGTTTTGCAGTTTCGCTACACATTATAAAAACATTCCACACACCTGTAGTACTTAGCCACGCCAGGTGCTGCCCAGCAGCTTGACCGGATTCCCAGCAGTTCGACAGGGTTCACTTCACATTATAAAAATAAGCCACACCTGTATCTCATAGTTACACCAGGTGCTGTCCAGCATTTCGTCAGGGTCCCCAGCACTTTGACAGAGTTCACTACATATGATAGAAACATGTCACACACCTGTAGGACATATATATATATATATATATATATATACACCAGGTACTGCACAGCAGTTTGACAGGGTTCACTACACATTATAAAAAAAAAAACATGCCACACACCTGTATCTCATATCCAGCATTTCGTCAGGGTCCCCAGCACTTTGACAGAGTTCACTACATATGATAGAAACATGTCACACACCTGTAGGACATATATATATATATATATATATATATATACACCAGGTACTGCACAGCAGTTTGACAGGGTTCACTACACATTATAAAAAAAAAACATGCCACACACCTGTATCTCATAGTTGCACCAGGTACTGTCCAGCAGGTTCCGTGTGAGCACCACCAAGGTCTTCCTGCTCTTCTTGATGGCGGTCACGATGTTAGCAGCGATGTAGTCACCAGCTACGAAGTCTCTTCCATGGATGTGAATCTTCAGTCCTCTCTCTTCAAGTTCTTTAAATAAACACATGTAGAAAAAATCCTCCGAATAAGAAATATAAGATTTTAATTACGTATATAAATAAATAAATAAATATGTATAACATACATGCTTTGAAAGAATGTATAATATGTACTATTCACCAAAATAGGGTGGTTCTCAACATATAGTGGAAAAAAACCACTTAAAATTTTCTCTTTATGGAATTAGTGTCTGCGCAAAATATCAGCTCAAATGCAATTCATTCAGTACTGCCTCACTAAGATTAGCACTAATATTAGCACTAATATTAGCACTAAGATTAGCACTAAGATTAGCACTAAGATTAGCACTAAGATTAGAACTAAGATTAGCACTAAGATTAGCACTAAGATTAGCACTAAGATTAGCACCATTCTCGTAAATGTTTCCCCTATTAAAAAAATTGGCAAGCTGTTAGGAGTTCCAAAGGTCACCAGTGCAACAGGAATAAACATTTCACAGTCTAAATGGGAAACATTTTGTGTGGTATCTGTTCCTTAGATGGTATCAACAAAAACGTAGCCACACATCGGACTTAACATTTTTGAACCCCCCCCCCCCATGCCCATTATACTATTATCTTTATTATTATTGTTATTATAACCTGATTAGTAGATGAGCTGGGACATCCTGCCAAGTCAATTTCCAGAAGTACTACTCCTCTACACCAACCTTACGAACTGCATGGCCATATACTTGAGCCAGTTATGTCCTTAAGGTTTCTTGGTGGTAACATTCAAAGACACGTCGGCTGGGACGAGCTTATTAACAATACGTGCAACCAGACAGACAAGACCCTTGGGATTTTAAGATGAAATCTAAAGATCGGCAGCTCCAGCGTGAAAGAAACAAAAAACCTATAAAGTCTTTGTGCGGCCGCTTTTAGATCTACAGTCTGGGACATATTTACCCAGGAGAGCATCGACATGTTGGTGGCGGTCCAGCAACGGGCAGCACGATTTGTCCTGAACCGTTACAGGAACACCTCTGGTGTTTGCAGCATGCTGGAAACACTAGGCTGGTCACCTTTGGAGAAACGACGACGACAATCCAGGCTCTCCATGATATATAAGATGAAAAAATGGGCTGTTCCACTGCTCCAGCATTAAACAGAAACTTGTTCCCTTCCCCCTCCCCATGACAGGGACGAATCCACGACAGGCAGTTCCGGCTCATAACAACAATAACACAGTAAGGCGTGTCTCATTCCTGCCAACGAAACGTCAAGGACTGGAACAAGCTTCCAAAAGGAACAGATGAGGCGACAGCATATGATACATTTGCGTCTGTTGCCTGCCGCCCTCCAGTTCCTGCTATCCTCACTGAGTGGCTCTTGCAAACAATGTAATATCTTTTTCAAAGCAGGCTTTGAAAAACATAAACATCGCGAATGATCTCTTCCCACCTCTGACCGTAGAACGACGCCACTGAGTGTCGTCCATGGCTTGAGATGTAAATAGTTTTAAATATGCATTTGTTTTGTTTTACTTAATTAATGTATGTCAATTAATTATTTTAGATTTTTTATTATGTTTGTTAAATTGTATGTACAGCGTGGTGAGCCAAGCCCTAGGCTGGGGTACCACGCTATATGAAACCACGTATAATAATAATAGTAAAAATGTGGGAGCCAGAATGATTAACAAGTTGAGTCCATGGTTACTGCATTGATTTGACAACCAAAATAAAAGCTAGTCAATCGGTAACAGCCACAATCACTTTTGAATTTACTGCTGAATTACCCTTTCTGTATTCTACGGGAAAAACCGATTTTAAATTAACCTATAATCACCTTTTGTGACCTCGTTCACAACGAAGTCCTCGTCAATGGACGAATATGACAGGAAGATGTCGAACTGGAAGTCGTCAGAGCTCCCGCGCTTCTCCTTGTTCCTGAACCTGAGGTAAGCTGCGTAGTACAGGTATCTTAAGTTCCACCTGAATCTGTCATGGAATTTAAAAAAAAAGGAATAGATCGTGGAACAGAAAAAAAAATCCATCAAGGGACAGAAAAACAAATCTATCAAGGGACAAAACAATGAATCTATCAAGGGACAGAACAACGAATCCATCAAGGGACAGAACAACGAATCTATCTAAGAAAACAACAAGGAAAATTTCAAGGAACAAATAACGGGATATTTCATGGCACAGGAAACGAAATCTATCATTGAACATATGAGAGAATCTATCAATGAACAGAACAACGAATCTATCAATGAACAGAACAAGGAATCTATCAATGAACAGAGCAAGGAATCTATCAATGAACAGAACAAGGAATCTATCAATGAACAGAAGAACAAGAACTCTATCAAGGAACAGATCAAGGAATCTATCAATGAACGGAACAAGGAATCTATCAATGAACAGAACAAGGAATCTATCAATGAACAGAACAAGGAATCTATCAATGAACAGAACAACGAATCTATCAATGAACAGAACAACGAATCTATCAATGAACAGAACAAGGAATCTATCAATGAACAGAACAAGGAATCTATCAATGAACAGAACAACGAATCTATCAATGAACAGAACAAGAACTCTATCAAGGAACAGATCAAGGAATCTATCAATGAACAGAACAAGGAATCTATCAATGAACAGAACAAGAACTCTATCAAAGAACAGATCAAGGAATCTATCAAGGAACAAAATAAGGAATCTATCAATGAACAGAACAAGTAAATCAAAGAACAGAACAAGGAATATATCAATGAACAGAACATCTTTGGATGCGCATTACGTCTGCTCATTGTTGTACAGCCAAAGTCATACGCTAACGTTAAAAGTTATTTTTTTAACTTGTTTTTCTTCACCTCTGTTTTCCTTTCAAATCTATTTATCAGATTTAAAGGTCATGTAACTGTTTACTGGGCCGCTGATACAATTTTAAGGTATTTGCATCCCCATTCGTCCCCAGCGATCCCACTCCAGCCCCATTCGTCCCCAGCCATCCCCATAGTCTCCATCCGCCCCACTCCATCTACATTCGTCACCATCCGTCCCACTCCATCCACATTCGTCACCATCCGTCCCACTCCATCCACATTCGTCACCATCCGTCCCACTCCATCCCCATACGTCACCATCCGTCCCACTCCGTCCCAAATTCGTCACCATCCGTCCTATTCCGTTCTCCATTCGTCACCATCCGTCCTACTCCATCCCCATACGTCACCATCCGTCCCACTCCATCCCCATTGGTCAACATCCACCCCACTCCATCCCATATTCGTCACCATCCGTCCTTTTCCGTCCCCCATTCGTCACCATCCGTCCCACTCCATCCCCAGACGTCACCATCCGTCCCACTCGATCCCCATGCGTCACCATCCGTCCCCATAACGTCCCCATCCGTCCCACTCCATCCCCATACGTCACCATCCGTCCCACTCCACCCCCATTCGTCTCTATCCGTCCCACTCCATCCCCATTCGTCACCATCCGTCCCACTCTATCCCCATTTGTCACCATCCGTCCCACTCCATCCCCATGCGTCAACATCCGTCCCCATACGTCACCATCCGTCCCACTCCATCCCCATACGTCACCATCCGCCCCACTCCATCCCCTTTCGTCACCATCCGTCCCACAATATCCCCATTTGTCACCATCCGTCCCACTCCATCAACATCTCTCAAACCGCCACCCCCCAACCCACCCACCCCCATCAAACTCTTCATGTGTATAAAATTTAGTATGTCACATGACGTTACCCTCCCCCACCGGGTGTAGGACAATAATTCCGCCCCTAACATCCTTGTCCACGAACCGTGTCCAGTAAATTAAAAATCTTCCATTAGAATACAGCAATACGCTACGCCATTGTCTGTCTGATTTGATCTTATTGTTTCAAAATGTATATTTAGACTTTCAATAAACACAATATTTTGTTAGATTTTTCCGATAAGTCACCATAAAACCCAGCAAGTTTATGTAATATTAAATAAATGTGTATCAATGTAAACATTCTTTTATTAAATGTTTATTAATATATAAGAAATTTCTTCTTCTTCTTTATTTTTAAGGGCCCACGATCAATGAATTGATCATTCTGGCTCCTATTTTATTATTATGGCTACTTTATTTTATTATTTAAATTATTCTATGTATCTGCTTTGGATCCAATCTCAAATATTTGATTTTATGAAAATATTCTTTATCATGTATGAGGAAATTTAGTCATAACAAAATGTAACACATAACCAGTTCACTTAAACTTTTTCTGCTTATGCTATGAGCGAGGCATCTCCATAACAATGAACGCTTGTTGTGTGAAACATAATACCTATACAGGCACAAGTTTGATACTGCAGCATCATAATCATAATGGCTATTCAACACACATACATTCCCCGTCGTTTCCCCTCCCTCATATGTCAGTATCACAGTGCCAGCGAGGCCCATTTGTTATTAAATGTTTTGTTAAAGTAATGTTTATGTTATTAAATGTTTTGTTAATGTAACATTTTAGGTACTTAAATGTTTATTAATGTAAAATTTATGTTATTATGTTAATTAATGTAACAGTTCTGTTATTAAATGTTTATTTATTTAACATTCCTGTTATTTAATGTCGGTTGATGGAAGATATCTTTTATCAAATGTTTATTAAGGTCACTTTTCTGTTATTAAATGTTTATTAATGTTAAATTTCTGTTATTAAATGTTGTTTTAATATAAAAATTTCTGTTATTAAATGTTTATTAGTGTAAAATTTATGTTATTAAATGTTTATTAATGTTACATTTCTGTTATTAAATGTTTTCTTAATGTTACATTTCTGTTATTAATTGTTCATTTATGTAACTTGTCTTTAATGAAATATTTATTAATGTTACATTTTAGTTATTATATGTTTGTTAATGTAACATTTCTGTATTAAATCTTTATTAATCTTAATTTCTGTTATTAAATTATTTTTTTTACCTGATATCACTTAAGAATATGATACTCAATCCCGTCAGATTTGTCTTTACTTTCAAATGTGTTGAGCTCTATTGTGAAGCATTGAGTTATATCTCAATTTAGTTTTATTTCTGTTACCAAAGTGCATCAGTTGCTCTAATCATTCTATTCCCAATCTGAATAATAACATTTTATACCTTGAATGAATATTAACTCGAACTTTTTGTTTACGCTTCAGATCAGCCAATGTAGTTTGATTTCGCTTAGTTGATTGGACTGTTCACTTGCCTAGAAGGCACGCTTACCTGTAGACAAGGGCGCCAGCAACAATGAGAAGGAAAAAGATGGTGGCCACAAGAGCGGCCAGAAACACGGGGTAGTTGTCAGCGCATTGCAGCGTCAGACTGGCCAGGGTATCCTCGTACGCGTCCTCGATGGTCTTATACGAGCTGTCAGGGTACAGGCACATGTAGTTCTCAAACTTTCGATCGAACGCCCCAGAGTGGGCCATCCATTTCAGGAACTCGAAGTTACTGCAGTCGCATCTGATGGGATTCAGGGAGAGATCGACGCGGAGGTCGCATGGCGCTTTGGGGCAGAGCTGGTCGATGTGTGTGCGGAGGTCCATGGTCAAGAAGTTCTGCTGCGTGTGGCTCATTTCCAGAATCTTCAGCTTCTCCAGGTGAGACACCGTCGCGTTCAACTGCCAGATCTCGTTGAGGTTGAGATACAACCGCTCCAGGTTGGTGAGCCCTTGAAAAATATTGTCAGGCAATTTGGTCAGCCTGTTGCTGGACAGGTCAAGGGTGGTGAGATTTTTAAGTCTTCGAAAATTGGGTTCGATTGGCCGGAATTTTCGAAAAAAGCTCCGAGGCGGTTGCGTGCAAGGAAAAGTTTCTGAAGAGAATTAAAGTTTTGAAAGAATGCCTTCTTGATGCTCGACACAGATGTGTGTTTCAGATGCAGTTCGGTGAGTTTTTCCAGTCCGTAAATTGGCCCCTCTAACGACGGAAAGTAGTTGTCATCTAGAACAAGTTTCTGCAATGAGTTATTAGCGTTTACGAAGAGGTCAGACAAAATGTATTTCAAATCCATAACACTCATGTCCAGCACTTTGAGATTAGGAGGGAGAAACAACTCGAAACGTCCCGTGTCAATGCAATCACCTGGTTCTTCACATGAACCGCCCCACGGTAGCTGAATTGTCCTTTCAGCGGGGGGTGGGTAGCCTTTGGGGACTCGAAAGATGTACCCGATGCTGTTCAGCATGAGGTGCTTGAGGTTTTTTAACATGGGCAGGTCCTTCAAATACGTGCTGAAAGTTAAGCGGTTATCGCCCAGATCGATGTATTTGAGATCCGGTGGGAGTGTCTCTATGGCTCCGTCTTCGATCATCTCCAGGGCATTTTCCCTTGCCACGAGAAACTCAAGTTTCCTCGGCAGGCTTGACGCAAACGATGACGTCACAGCCTCTCCGGTGGAGTATCTATTGTTTATCGACGTCATCGTCAGGCAGGTGAGATTTGAATCGTTCAACGGCCGTAAAAGATCGGCGAGATGATTGAATCCGAGTTTGAGGTTAAAGGTCACGTCCAGCCCTTCCAGGTTCTGCAAAGGGGCGAAAGCATCTATTCCAGAACCGTTGACAAGAATGGAGCAATCGCTGACGTTGAGATAAGTCAGCTGGGCAACATTGCTGAACGTGTCGTTCGACAGGAAGCCCATCTTACAGTAGCCCTCGTCGAGCCCCGACAGCACGAGCCGGCGTAACGACGTCATGCGGTTAAAACCTGGACCGAAAACAGCCAGCGGCAACCCGTCTATGTGCAGGTCTGTGAGGTTTCTCAGCTCGGACAACGCTTCATCCGGGTACACGTAGGCGGGTTCGAAAACCCGTTTGGTGTTCTTGTTCAGCTTCAGCACAGCCAATGCTGCAAGGGGCGCAAAAACTCCCGGCTCGAATGTTTCCCTTTGCATCTCCAAAGTGTTATTCCTCAAATCCAGGTAGCTCAGTTGAGAAAGCCCGACGAACGCGTCCCGTCCGAGGTGACTTATTTGATTGTCGGAGACATCTAGACGCTGGAGACGTGTGTAGTTCTTAAAACTTCCGTCGCCCAGATCTGAGATAGAGTTGTTTCTCAGCAGCAGGGTCGTGATGTTGGTCGACAAGTTTTGCGGCACGCTTGTGAGGCCTGAGTTTGAACAGTCGCATGTAACTTGGAAACAAGTGCAAGGCGAATCCCCAAACCGCCTCCGCGCACCGGAAGTACCGGATTTCAAGTTGCCATGGATTGTGAATTCATCTTCGGCTTTGTTTTTCGAGAAACATTTCGATTTGAGAACTTGTAAATCCTCCTCTTCATCCAATGGCTCATCCTGGTTTCCTGAATTATAAGAATATTCGACTTCGACGTCATATTTATCTAATTGCTTATCACGCCCTTCTTCTACCGAAACCTTCTTTCGATTTAAAAAAATCGTGTCGCGTCTGATGATTCCTCTCGATGAATAATCAGCTTCTCTTTCGTGTTCCTTTTCAAGGTTTTGGCTTGAAATGATTATAAGTAACGTAGATAAACACAAGGCTGTGAAAAGATTGACACAGAATTTCATGATGACAGCGATTGCTGGAGAATGAAAAAAAAAAGTTAAATTAAATGTGGATTGTTTCGTGAAATAGAACTAGCAGAAGTGGTTACGCCACACTGATTTTTGAATGTTTTGGTGAGCAAGAGAGAGAGATAGAGAGAGAGAGAGAGAGAGAGATGACATAGGTAAGAGAGAGGTGAGAGAATGATAGAGAGAAAGAAAGAGAGAGAGAGAGATGAGATAGGTAAAGAGAGAGAGGAGAGAATGATATAGAGAAAGAAAGAGAGAGAAAGAAACTGATGTAAGTACCATGGATACATTGCATTTAACACTACAACGGTACTGACCACAAATCCAATGTGCATGACAGAATGCAATTAACTATATTGGAATAGTTTCTAACACTGTCCAACAAAAACGCAGATTAATCCAGATTATCTCACAGTCCTTTTTCCCAATTGGCAAAATCTATATATCTATATCTATAGAGTTGTCCATCGGCACTTCACGCATGGACTTTCGTGGCTTCACTTTGTCGCGCTTTCTTCTTCACATACATTCATTAGAAAGTTGATCCATGTAACAGAAAGGATACGGCGCGCGCTCAGTTGTCTGAAGTAAAAACAACAACAACACATTTTTAATTACGTATAAAAAAAATTACCTTTGCTAAATATCTTGTAATGTGTAATGCTTTACCAGAGTCAAAAAGAAATTTAAAATCTGTTTTGTAGAGAGGTCTATATTACATTAAACTTTTAAACTCGCCATTTTTTTAAATCGCATTAAAATGGAATATTTATTTTAAAATGCATGAGATATTTACAAAAGACATCATCTATTAAACTTTGATTTTTATCTGAGGGAAATCTTCTACGTATACAGTATTCATCTCCCGAAATTCAGCTGCTTGAAATGTTTATTTGAAATTTAGAACTAATACAACTTTTTTCAGATAAATGACATATTACCTTTTCGATATATATATATATATATATATATATATATATATATATATTTATATATATATATATTTGTAATGGATTCTCATCAAGAAAAAAATAAGTTTTAATAACACATGGGGAGAAATGGGTGAGGCAGATTGTTTATTATTCTGACTTTAAAAAGAAGATTGATTGATTGATTGATTTGATATTTATATCGCGCCGGTATCCATGCCACTTTAGCATGCTCACTGCGCTCTGGTCCTCCGAAAACTATTGAAACAAAAAAGTTTTTAATTGTTACTTAAATGATTTTTTAGCATTAACAATTCCCCTCAAAGATTGAGGCAAACTGTTCCATAATTTTTGGCGCTATCGCTTCAAAAGAGCGCACTCCGTCAGACTTTTTTTTCTGTGTTCATCCACTCTAGGAACACTCAGCAAGTACTGTGGTAAAGACAGCAGACTATCCAGAAGTACATGTTTATAAATAAGTTCCTTGAGATATTCCGCTGCTGAGCCGTCTATGCAGCTGTACGCCAGGGACAGAATTTTGTAGTTAATGCGCTCACTCACAGGAACCCAATGGAGATCTCGTAGAACTGGGGTGATGTGGTCAGATTTTTTCATCCGCGATACAATGCGTGCTGCAGTATTTTGTATCTTTTGGAGTCTCTGAATTCGGTTCTGAGGCAAACCCCCCAAACAAGTATTACAGTAATCTAATCTTGACTGGATTAGAGTTACTGCTACAGCATTGGCTGTTCTCCTATTGAGTTGAGGACGAAGCTGACCCAGGGCACGCACATGACAGAAGCATGCATTGACAACAGCACTGATATGGGGAATCATACCCAGTTTACTGTCAATATAAAAGCCAAGGTCTCTGACAGTCGAGGACAACAGGATCTCTGATTCACCAACTTTTATTGATGCAATGGTAACTTTCCGAAGATTGGCGTCTTAACCACAAATAATTGCCTCAGTCTTATCATCATTCAATTTTAGTCTGTTAGCTGACATCCATTCTTTCACAGCAAGACAGCAGTCCTCGACACCCTGAACAGCAGTAGCACACTCCAAGGGATCAGGGCGGAAACACTTGTATAGTTCTGTGTCATCCGCAAATAAAGAAGAGAAAAGCAATTTGGGAACTTAATCTATGAAGACCAAGTATTTATAGATCGTATTTCCTATTCACGAAACTCTGCCACAAAAGTAGGTCATTGACATCAAAAGGTTTGTCTTCTCTCTAATAACAATTGTGTGCGTCCTCGTAAATTTTTTTAAATTTTTTAATTCTGTCTAAAAATTATCAATTTCTCATTTATTTTTAATTTTATTTTGTCCAGCTAGACATTCATAGGTTTAAATTTATGCTAATAGCTTTATTTTTAAAGACCATGAAGCCATCATACAATTTATAATTAACGCACTACCCTAAGCGGGTCGTCCATTAAATACGTTAACGGTTTTTACGCAATTTTTGCCCCCCCCCCCTTTCCCCCTATTTTTTTTTTTTTTTTTTTACTTTATTAATTTATCCCCCTATTTTTAATGTTTTTTTTTTTAAATGAATTATAATTTGAAAAAAAAAAATTGCCAATTTCTTTTTATACTTAGCAAGAACTATATTGAAATATACCCCACCCCCATGGGCGCCCGCAGAAAACTTTCTAGGGGGGGGGCAAAAAAAATCGATTAACTTTCTAGGGGGGGGGGAATTTTTTTAGTAATGTTTTAATGTAGTTTTAATTTACTGTAGCGTATTTGTATGGTAAACGAACTGACAGGACATCAGCTTAGTTACTTTCTCTTTATTTTCTCTTTACTTTAATACATTTTTTGTCTATTTTTGTCTAAAATTTTTTTTATCCAATCAATCCTTGTTTTTTGTCCTGTTATCTTATTTCAAGCTTCCACATACCTCGTTTGGCTATTTCATTAAATTTCCCAGAAGTTAGCACTCATTAGCCTTTGAAACAGGGACCCTACCTGCCGGCATTGCAGCTTGGTGCCGGAGACACTTGCGCACCTGCTGACCGAATATCTCCCCCCCCCCCAACTAGATGTCACAGGGGAGGCCAGGGCAGAAGGAGAGTCCTACGTGAGGAAAACGTTGTATAGCTCAGCCCAGCAGATGGAGCTGGTAGACAATGTGCCAAGCCAGGGTCATTAGAGAGTAATCTCAGACCTTCACCAGAATGTGTGTTAGTGAGTTATCTAGTGCGATAGTTGAGTGCACGCCCCGTCGCGTCACTTTAAGCAGAAGGGAAGTTCACGCACTGTCGTCGCCACTCTTTGACGGCTTATTTATTAAGTTGGCATATAATGTTAATAAATTCTAAGACAGTGGTTCTCAACCTTCCTAGTGCCGCGACCCTTTAATACAGCTTCTCGTGTCGTGGCGACCCCCAGCCGCACAATTATTTTCGTTACACCTTCATAGCTGTAAGGATATGTGTTTTCAGATGGTCTTAGGCGACCCCTGGGATATTGTCATGTGTCGTGACTCACAGGTTGAGAACCGCTGTTCTAAGACAAAGGAATGCGTGCGTCCAACACATGACACCATTGATTGGATACAATGTGAATAATGGCAAACACGCGAGCTCATATTCATATAAATTAATTAAAATGCCATGCATTCTCACATCTTAACTTTAACACAGTTGGTGTTTAAGTAACAAGTTATGTCTTTAGAGCAGGGGTTCTTAATTTTTTAAATTTTTTTTAAAAATCTATTGACCCGTTTGCCAGACCGTCAAGACAATTGACCTCTTTTAGAAAGTTTTTTTTTTTTTTTTAATCATGTAATAAAACTTTAAAAAAAGAAATGAAGCTAACGAACAACTGACACATTTCCACAAACCCTCAGGGGGGTCAATGCACCATAGAACAAGAACCCCTGCTATAATAAAAGATAGTTCTTCTTTTCTACATATACCTTGCCTTATTCCGAATAAACCAGTCTGGAACTGTACAACAGCAGGTCACCAAAGAGGAATGAATGATTTATAAGACAAGATATTATATTTTCTTATCAGTGACACACGCCGACACCCCACATCCGGGTGTGTGGGTGTGTGTGTTATCGCCTGCAGCACTTCAATGCGCACCGGACAAAATCTCTGACTTGGCTTGTGCGGTGGCTTTGATATAAAAAAAAAAGGTGGGGGGGGGGGGGGGAGTGGGAGGTGTTGGACTACGTACCCTTGCTGTTAGAATGGGTATTGAGAAAAAAACAAAACAAAAAAAAAAAAGAAACTTATTTATACATTTGAAAAGTGGTTGGAGACCAAATTTTAAATAAATCACAGCGAACGGGTTCAGACATTGAAATGAAATGTGATTTTGTTTTCAAATATTACAACTAAAGGAACACGTTTAAATAGGAAACAAACTCAATAATTTACAACGTCATACAATGTCATCCAATGTCATACAATGCTATACAATGCCATCACTTTTTTAATATTATTGTTAATATTCATTTAAAATAGACCCTATAATTTACGCAAAACTTTAATTTTTCATAACTTTATTATTGTTTTTTTTTCCACTGATTGTTAGTCATACGCTGGTACAAGTGTCTCAGATAACTATAACATATTTTAGTCATAATCTGGTACAAGTGTCTCAGATAGCTAGAACATAGTGTTAGTTATAATCTGGTACAAGTGTCTCAGATAGCTAGAACATAGTGTTAGTCATAATCTGGTACAAGTGTCTCAGATAGCTAGAACATAGTGTTAGTTATAATCTGGTACAAGTGTCTCAGATAGCTAGAACATAGTGTTAGTCATAATCTGGTACAAGTGTCTCAGATAGCTAGAACATAGTGTTAGTCATAATCTGGTACAAGTGTCTCAGATAGCTAGAACATAGTGTTAGTTATAATCTGGTACAAGTGTCTCAGATAGCTAGAAGATATTAGTACTTATAAGCTGGTACAAGTGTCTCAGATAGCTAGAATATATTGTTAATCATAATCTGGTACAAGTGTCTCAGACAGCTAGAACATCTTGTTCTTCATAGGCTAGTACAAATAACTCCGATAGCTAGATCCTATTGTTCATCATGAGCGAGTACAATTATCTCAGATAGCTAGATCATATTGTTAATCATGAGCTAGTACAAATATCTCAGATAACTAGAACATTTTGTTAATCATGAGCTTCTTATTAGAACAACTGTAGGCAACAAGACCACGCTTCGCTTGTTTGTATCAGCTTCTAGACAGATTTTAAAAAAAAACATCAGTGCGTAAAAACTTAACTTGGATGGGATGAAGAAAAATGGGGGATTTCCTTAATGATTCCAACACTAAGGAGAAATTTTGCAATGAAGTTGTGACTTAACACATTGTAACATTTTTACATTTTTAAAAAAAAAATCATATATTGAGGACATAATGACCGTACCATAGTTAACCCTTTAAACCAAGACAGCCATTCAAGATGTCCAAGCGTCGAACTACCGTAGTTGATTAACCCTTTAAACCAAGACAGCCATTCAAGATGTCCAAGCGCCGAACTACCGTAGTTAACCCTTTAAACCAAGACAGCCATTCAAGATGTCCAAGCGTCGAACTACCGTAGTTAATTAATCCTTTAAACCAAGACAGCCATTCAAGATGTCCAAGCGTCGAACTACCGTAGTTAATTAATCCTTTAAACCAAGACAACCGTTGCCGATGACAACACACACGATCAAATTTTTAGCCCCACACACTCCATAAAAAAAAATAAATTAATGGAATGCTATTGATTTTTTCAATGGATGCAAGTTTGGGTGTGGAGATTAATTGTGTAGTTGTTGCTATGTACTTTGTATTTGTAACGTATTTTGGTGCGCCAACTTTCATCATATCTCAATATCAATTGACTAAAATGACTGAGTAAAAACGATGTGACAAAATTGTTCTTTTAAATAAATCTTTAGTCCATCAGGTTTGACATGAATTAAGTTTGAAAAAAAAACCCAACCCTTTCCCATAACAAAATCAGTTTATAAAATTTCATAAAGAGAAATCACGTACAATTACATTAATGCCCACACACAAATGCATATAAAGTATTTAAACGAAAAATGTGTTTATCGTAGTTGTTTAATTATATATCTCTCTCTATTTATGTGTAAGCTTCCAATTTCTCTCTCTTTTTTTCTCTCCTTTTCTTTTATCTTCATCTTTTATCAATCTATGTATCTAAATATCTATCTATCTTATTATCTGTCTGTCTGTCTGTCCGTCCGTCCGTCCGTCCATCCATCCATCCATCTATTTATTTATCTGTCTGTCTGTCTATCATATATATATTTCTATATGTCTGTATCTATCTAATATAAATATTCCATCTGTCTAATCTGTATCTTTCTATCCGTCCAATATGTATATTTATCTGTCGATTGCACATCTGCATTTATGTCTATCTTTCGTTTACTCTCTATCTCACACTCTTTCTCCGTGTCTCTCTTTTTCTCTCTTTGCCTGTCGTCCATTCCAACCCTATCTCTTCATTACTCTATCTTTCATTAAAAACTTGCAGGGAAGGCGTAGTACAAAATTAAACTTGAGACATCAACACACACAGGAAAATACAACAAAATTCATTTGAAGTCTTATTCTTTCGTCACCAAATTGTATCTCGCCTCTCTTGAAGGCACAGCCCATGACCACGGCGGACGACATCACCAAGAAGCTGCCCAGCAGCGCGAAGACCCAGCTGCAACTCACGGGGCACAGGTGTGAGTAGTGTGCGTGGAAGAGGGACACGCCCACCAGTGTACAAACACCTGGGTAAACATTAAACACATTAGTGTCATGGGTTAAAAAAAACAACAACTAAAAAGTAATTTTTAAAAAATAGTTTTCAGTGCTCATGTAAGGTCAGTCCCAGCATCAGTGCATGTTATTAGAGCAGTTATCAGAGCAGTTAATAGGGCAGTTCATAGGGAAGTAAATAGGGCAGCTAATAGAGCAGATAATAGGGCAGTTCATATGACAGTTAATAGGGCAGTTAATAGGGCAGTTAATAGGGCAGTTCATAGGGCAGTTAATAGGACAGTTAATAGGGCAGTTAATAGGGCAGTTAATAGGGCAGTTAATAGGACAGTTAATAGGGCAGTTAATAGGGCAGTTAATATGGCAGTTAATAAGACAGTTAATAGGGCAGTTAATAGGACAGTTAATAGGGCAGTTAATATGGCAGTTAATAGGGCAGTTAATAGGGCAGTTAATCAGACAGTTAATAGGGCAGTTAATAAGACAGTTAATAGGACAGTTAATAGGGCAGTTAATAGGGCAGTTAATAGGGCAGTTAATAGGGCAGTTAATAAGACAGTTAATAGGACAGTTAATAGGGCAGTTAATAGGGCAGTTAATAGGGCAGTTAATATGGCAGTTAATAGGGCAGTTAATATGGCAGTTAATAGGGCAGTTAATAAAGCAGTTAATAGGGCAGTTAAAAAGACAGTTAATAGGACAGTTAATAGGGCAGTTAATAGGGCAGTTAATAGGGCAGTTAATGGGGCAGTTAATAAGACAGTTAATAGGACAGTTAATATGGCAGTTAATATGGCAGTTAATAAGACAGTTAATAGGGCAGTTAATAGGACAGTTAATAGGGCAGTTAATAAGACAGTTAATAGGGCAGTTAATAAGACAGTTAATAGGACAGTTAATAGGGCAGTTAATAGGGCAGTTAATAGGGCAGTTAATAGGGCAGTTAATAGGGCAGTTAATAGGGCAGTTAATAGGGCAGTTAATAGGGCAGTTAATAGGGCAGTTAATAGGACAGTTAATAGGGCAGTTAATAAGACAGTTAATAGGACAGTTAATAGGGTAGTTAATAGGGCAGTTAATATGGCAGTTAATATGGCAGTTAATAGGGCAGTTAATAAGACAGTTAATAGGACAGTTAATAGGGCAGTTAATAGGGCAGTTAATATGGCAGTTAATAGGGCAGTTAATAGGGCAGTTAATAAGACTGTTAATAGGAGAGTTAATAGGACAGTTAATAGGACAGTTAATAGGACAGTTAATAGGAGAGTTAATAGGGCAGTTAATAGGGCAGTAAATAGAGCAGTTAATAGGGCAGTTAATAGGGCAGTTAATAGAGCAGTTATCAGAGCAGTTATTAGCATTAAATGAGACGCACTGACTCCTCCTCTTACTTCAAGTGCCCCAGTGAGGCTTATACCACACACACACCTACATACTCAACGGACAGTATCCAAAAATGTCGTGACTGAACACATACTACACACCTACATACTCAACGGACAGTATCCAAAAATGTCGTGACTGAACACATACTACACACCTACATACTCAACGGACAGTATCCAAAAATGTCGTAACTGAACACATGCTACACACCTACATACTCAACGGACAGTATCCAAAAATGTCGTGACTGAACACATACTACACACCTACATACTCAACGGACAGTATCCAAAAATGTCGTGACTGACGCCATACAAAAAACCTCATAATCACTTGACAGTTACCGATACCGTCATTGCTGCTGACACACCACACACCCACGTACTTGGCAATCATCAATAACGTCATGACTGAACACATACTACACACCGACATGCTCGCCTGCCAACCTCGATGTCACGACAGCTCTAAAGCACAGATACGTACTCACCTGACAGTATCGATAATATCATGAATGCCGCCAGAATATACATCCACTTTTTCAGGAAGATGATTAGGATTGCGAGAATGAGCGCAAGTATGGCGCATGCGAGACCAAAGCACACCAGTGTTTGAATGGCGCTGACCACCGTGGCTGAAACGAACATGAAAATTTCAGTTGAAGATCTCCTAGACTTAAGCCTCGCTGCAAATGGGAAACACGTGTATCTTGGGACACGGGTTGCCAAACTCAATCGCTCGGCGGGCCAAAACTCAAATCACATGTAAGGTTGCGGGCCGAACAGGATAAACATTCAATAAGCGAAAAATTTACTCTTTTTAAAAAAAATATATATATATAAATGAAAATAGGAAAAAAAGTTTTCAATATTAAAAATCGTTGGCGTACCCATTTTCGCTGTCATGCCAATTTGTCGGAGCTGGATGTTTGGCACATTGTCTCGGCTACAAAAACAAATAAGTTCGTTAATGTTGGGAGTAACGTTCTGGTGTCATTGAGATTCTCATGATGGACTGCAAGTGCTCATCAGTGAGACGACCACTGTGTGTTGTTTTGTTAATCTTCATCACGGAAAAACAGCTGCTCACACATATATGTGCTACCCAACATGCTCAAGGCTCACACATGTATGTGCTACCCAACATGCACAAGGCTCACACATTTATATATGTGCTACCCAACATGCTCAAGGCTCACACATATATATGTGCTACCCAACATGCTCAAGGCTCACACATATATATATGTGCTACCCAACATGCTCAAGGCACACACATATATGTGCTACCCAACATGCTCAAGACTCACACATATATATATGCGCTACCCAACANGCTGCCCAGCAGCTTGACCGGATTCCCAGCAGTTCGACAGGGTTCACTTCACATTATAAAAATAAGCCACACCTGTATCTCATAGTTACACCAGGTGCTGTCCAGCATTTCGTCAGGGTCCCCAGCACTTTGACAGAGTTCACTACATATGATAGAAACATGTCACACACCTGTAGGACATATATATATATATATATATATATATATACACCAGGTACTGCACAGCAGTTTGACAGGGTTCACTACACATTATAAAAAAAAAACATGCCACACACCTGTATCTCATAGTTGCACCAGGTACTGTCCAGCAGGTTCCGTGTGAGCACCACCAAGGTCTTCCTGCTCTTCTTGATGGCGGTCACGATGTTAGCAGCGATGTAGTCACCAGCTACGAAGTCTCTTCCATGGATGTGAATCTTCAGTCCTCTCTCTTCAAGTTCTTTAAATAAACACATGTAGAAAAAATCCTCCGAATAAGAAATATAAGATTTTAATTACGTATATAAATAAATAAATAAATATGTATAACATACATGCTTTGAAAGAATGTATAATATGTACTATTCACCAAAATAGGGTGGTTCTCAACATATAGTGGAAAAAAACCACTTAAAATTTTCTCTTTATGGAATTAGTGTCTGCGCAAAATATCAGCTCAAATGCAATTCATTCAGTACTGCCTCACTAAGATTAGCACTAATATTAGCACTAATATTAGCACTAAGATTAGCACTAAGATTAGCACTAAGATTAGCACTAAGATTAGAACTAAGATTAGCACTAAGATTAGCACTAAGATTAGCACTAAGATTAGCACCATTCTCGTAAATGTTTCCCCTATTAAAAAAATTGGCAAGCTGTTAGGAGTTCCAAAGGTCACCAGTGCAACAGGAATAAACATTTCACAGTCTAAATGGGAAACATTTTGTGTGGTATCTGTTCCTTAGATGGTATCAACAAAAACGTAGCCACACATCGGACTTAACATTTTTGAACCCCCCCCCCCCATGCCCATTATACTATTATCTTTATTATTATCCAACCTTACGAACTGCATGGCCATATACTTGAGCCAGTTATGTCCTTAAGGTTTCTTGGTGGTAACATTCAAAGACACGTCGGCTGGGACGAGCTTATTAACAATACGTGCAACCAGACAGACAAGACCCTTGGGATTTTAAGATGAAATCTAAAGATCGGCAGCTCCAGCGTGAAAGAAACAAAAAACCTATAAAGTCTTTGTGCGGCCGCTTTTAGATCTACAGTCTGGGACATATTTACCCAGGAGAGCATCGACATGTTGGTGGCGGTCCAGCAACGGGCAGCACGATTTGTCCTGAACCGTTACAGGAACACCTCTGGTGTTTGCAGCATGCTGGAAACACTAGGCTGGTCACCTTTGGAGAAACGACGACGACAATCCAGGCTCTCCATGATATATAAGATGAAAAAATGGGCTGTTCCACTGCTCCAGCATTAAACAGAAACTTGTTCCCTTCCCCCTCCCCATGACAGGGACGAATCCACGACAGGCAGTTCCGGCTCATAACAACAATAACACAGTAAGGCGTGTCTCATTCCTGCCAACGAAACGTCAAGGACTGGAACAAGCTTCCAAAAGGAACAGATGAGGCGACAGCATATGATACATTTGCGTCTGTTGCCTGCCGCCCTCCAGTTCCTGCTATCCTCACTGAGTGGCTCTTGCAAACAATGTAATATCTTTTTCAAAGCAGGCTTTGAAAAACATAAACATCGCGAATGATCTCTTCCCACCTCTGACCGTAGAACGACGCCACTGAGTGTCGTCCATGGCTTGAGATGTAAATAGTTTTAAATATGCATTTGTTTTGTTTTACTTAATTAATGTATGTCAATTAATTATTTTAGATTTTTTATTATGTTTGTTAAATTGTATGTACAGCGTGGTGAGCCAAGCCCTAGGCTGGGGTACCACGCTATATGAAACCACGTATAATAATAATAGTAAAAATGTGGGAGCCAGAATGATTAACAAGTTGAGTCCATGGTTACTGCATTGATTTGACAACCAAAATAAAAGCTAGTCAATCGGTAACAGCCACAATCACTTTTGAATTTACTGCTGAATTACCCTTTCTGTATTCTACGGGAAAAACCGATTTTAAATTAACCTATAATCACCTTTTGTGACCTCGTTCACAACGAAGTCCTCGTCAATGGACGAATATGACAGGAAGATGTCGAACTGGAAGTCGTCAGAGCTCCCGCGCTTCTCCTTGTTCCTGAACCTGAGGTAAGCTGCGTAGTACAGGTATCTTAAGTTCCACCTGAATCTGTCATGGAATTTAAAAAAAAAGGAATAGATCGTGGAACAGAAAAAAAAATCCATCAAGGGACAGAAAAACAAATCTATCAAGGGACAAAACAATGAATCTATCAAGGGACAGAACAACGAATCCATCAAGGGACAGAACAACGAATCTATCTAAGAAAACAACAAGGAAAATTTCAAGGAACAAATAACGGGATATTTCATGGCACAGGAAACGAAATCTATCATTGAACATATGAGAGAATCTATCAATGAACAGAACAACGAATCTATCAATGAACAGAACAAGGAATCTATCAATGAACAGAGCAAGGAATCTATCAATGAACAGAACAAGGAATCTATCAATGAACAGAAGAACAAGAACTCTATCAAGGAACAGATCAAGGAATCTATCAATGAACGGAACAAGGAATCTATCAATGAACAGAACAAGGAATCTATCAATGAACAGAACAAGGAATCTATCAATGAACAGAACAACGAATCTATCAATGAACAGAACAACGAATCTATCAATGAACAGAACAAGGAATCTATCAATGAACAGAACAAGGAATCTATCAATGAACAGAACAACGAATCTATCAATGAACAGAACAAGAACTCTATCAAGGAACAGATCAAGGAATCTATCAATGAACAGAACAAGGAATCTATCAATGAACAGAACAAGAACTCTATCAAAGAACAGATCAAGGAATCTATCAAGGAACAAAATAAGGAATCTATCAATGAACAGAACAAGTAAATCAAAGAACAGAACAAGGAATATATCAATGAACAGAACATCTTTGGATGCGCATTACGTCTGCTCATTGTTGTACAGCCAAAGTCATACGCTAACGTTAAAAGTTATTTTTTTAACTTGTTTTTCTTCACCTCTGTTTTCCTTTCAAATCTATTTATCAGATTTAAAGGTCATGTAACTGTTTACTGGGCCGCTGATACAATTTTAAGGTATTTGCATCCCCATTCGTCCCCAGCGATCCCACTCCAGCCCCATTCGTCCCCAGCCATCCCCATAGTCTCCATCCGCCCCACTCCATCTACATTCGTCACCATCCGTCCCACTCCATCCACATTCGTCACCATCCGTCCCACTCCATCCACATTCGTCACCATCCGTCCCACTCCATCCCCATACGTCACCATCCGTCCCACTCCGTCCCAAATTCGTCACCATCCGTCCTATTCCGTTCTCCATTCGTCACCATCCGTCCTACTCCATCCCCATACGTCACCATCCGTCCCACTCCATCCCCATTGGTCAACATCCACCCCACTCCATCCCATATTCGTCACCATCCGTCCTTTTCCGTCCCCCATTCGTCACCATCCGTCCCACTCCATCCCCAGACGTCACCATCCGTCCCACTCGATCCCCATGCGTCACCATCCGTCCCCATAACGTCCCCATCCGTCCCACTCCATCCCCATACGTCACCATCCGTCCCACTCCACCCCCATTCGTCTCTATCCGTCCCACTCCATCCCCATTCGTCACCATCCGTCCCACTCTATCCCCATTTGTCACCATCCGTCCCACTCCATCCCCATGCGTCAACATCCGTCCCCATACGTCACCATCCGTCCCACTCCATCCCCATACGTCACCATCCGCCCCACTCCATCCCCTTTCGTCACCATCCGTCCCACAATATCCCCATTTGTCACCATCCGTCCCACTCCATCAACATCTCTCAAACCGCCACCCCCCAACCCACCCACCCCCATCAAACTCTTCATGTGTATAAAATTTAGTATGTCACATGACGTTACCCTCCCCCACCGGGTGTAGGACAATAATTCCGCCCCTAACATCCTTGTCCACGAACCGTGTCCAGTAAATTAAAAATCTTCCATTAGAATACAGCAATACGCTACGCCATTGTCTGTCTGATTTGATCTTATTGTTTCAAAATGTATATTTAGACTTTCAATAAACACAATATTTTGTTAGATTTTTCCGATAAGTCACCATAAAACCCAGCAAGTTTATGTAATATTAAATAAATGTGTATCAATGTAAACATTCTTTTATTAAATGTTTATTAATATATAAGAAATTTCTTCTTCTTCTTTATTTTTAAGGGCCCACGATCAATGAATTGATCATTCTGGCTCCTATTTTATTATTATGGCTACTTTATTTTATTATTTAAATTATTCTATGTATCTGCTTTGGATCCAATCTCAAATATTTGATTTTATGAAAATATTCTTTATCATGTATGAGGAAATTTAGTCATAACAAAATGTAACACATAACCAGTTCACTTAAACTTTTTCTGCTTATGCTATGAGCGAGGCATCTCCATAACAATGAACGCTTGTTGTGTGAAACATAATACCTATACAGGCACAAGTTTGATACTGCAGCATCATAATCATAATGGCTATTCAACACACATACATTCCCCGTCGTTTCCCCTCCCTCATATGTCAGTATCACAGTGCCAGCGAGGCCCATTTGTTATTAAATGTTTTGTTAAAGTAATGTTTATGTTATTAAATGTTTTGTTAATGTAACATTTTAGGTACTTAAATGTTTATTAATGTAAAATTTATGTTATTATGTTAATTAATGTAACAGTTCTGTTATTAAATGTTTATTTATTTAACATTCCTGTTATTTAATGTCGGTTGATGGAAGATATCTTTTATCAAATGTTTATTAAGGTCACTTTTCTGTTATTAAATGTTTATTAATGTTAAATTTCTGTTATTAAATGTTGTTTTAATATAAAAATTTCTGTTATTAAATGTTTATTAGTGTAAAATTTATGTTATTAAATGTTTATTAATGTTACATTTCTGTTATTAAATGTTTTCTTAATGTTACATTTCTGTTATTAATTGTTCATTTATGTAACTTGTCTTTAATGAAATATTTATTAATGTTACATTTTAGTTATTATATGTTTGTTAATGTAACATTTCTGTATTAAATCTTTATTAATCTTAATTTCTGTTATTAAATTATTTTTTTTACCTGATATCACTTAAGAATATGATACTCAATCCCGTCAGATTTGTCTTTACTTTCAAATGTGTTGAGCTCTATTGTGAAGCATTGAGTTATATCTCAATTTAGTTTTATTTCTGTTACCAAAGTGCATCAGTTGCTCTAATCATTCT